TTGATACGTCAGTGATATTAAAATACATCCTACAGGTGTTTTGTCTCTAGACTCGTCAGTGATATTAAACTACATCCTACAGGTGTTTTGTCTCTCTAGACTCGTCAGTGATATTAAACTACATCCTACAAGTGTTTTGTCTCTCTAGACTCGTCAGTGATATTAAACTACATCCTACAAGTATGATATTAAACTACATCCCACAAGTGTTTTGTCTCTTTTGATTCGTCAGTGATATCAAACTACATCCTAGAAGTGTTTTGTCTCTCTAGACTCGTCAGTGATATTAAACTACATCCTACAAGTGTTTCGTCTCTACACTCGTCAGTGATATCAAACTACATCCTACAAGTGTTTTGTGTCTCTAGACTCGTCAGTGATATTAAACTACATCCTACAAGTGTTTTGTCTCTCTTGATTCGTCAGTGATATTAAACTACATCCTACAGGTGTTTTGTCTCTAGACTCGTCAGTGATATTAAACTACATCCCACAGGTGTTTTGTCTCTCTAGATTCGTCAGTGATATTACATTACATCCTACAGGTGTTTTGTCTCTAGACTCGTCAGTGATATTAAACTACATCCTACAGGTGTTTTGTCTCTAGACTCGTCAGAGATATTATACTACATCCTACAAGTGTTTTGTCTCTCTAGAATCGTCAGTGATATTAAACTACATCCTACAGGTGTTTTGTCTCTAGACTCGTCGATGATATCAAAGTACATCTTACCAGTGTTTTGTCTCTCTTGATTCGTCATTGATATTAAACTACATCCTACAACTGTTTTGTCTCTCTAGACTCGTCGATGATATTAAACTACATCCTAAAAATGTTTCGTCTCTACATTCGTCAGTGATATCAAACTACATCCTACAAGTGTTTTGTCTCTCTAGACTCGTCATTGATATTAAACTACATCCCACAAGTGTTTTGTCTCTCTAGATTCGTCAGTGATAGTATACTACATCCCACAAGTGTTTTGTCTCTCTAAAATCGTCAGTGATATTAAACTACATCCTACAGGTGTTTTGTCTCTAGACTCGTCAGTGGTATTATACTACATCCTACAGGTGTAACATCTCTTTCGACTCGACAGTGATATTAAAATACATCCTACAAGTGTTTCGTCTCTAGACTCGTCAGTGATATTAAACTACATCCTACAAGTGTTTTGTCTCTCTAGAATCGTCAGTGATATTAAACTACATCCTACAGGTGTTTTGTCTCTAGACTCGTCAGTGATATCAAAGTACATCTTACCAGTGTTTTGTCTCTCTTGATTCGTCATTGATATTAAACTACATCCTACAACTGTTTTGTCTCTCTAGACTCGTTTGTCGTCTAGACTCGTCGATGATATCAAAGTACATCCTACAAGTGTTTTGTCTTTCTTGATTCGTCAGTGATATTATACTACATCCTACAAGTGTTTCGTCTTTAGACTCGTTAGTGATATTAAACTACATCCTACAAGTGTTTTGTCTCTCTAGACTCGTCATTGATATTAAACTACATCCCACAAGTGTTTTGTCTCTCTAGATTCGTCAGTGATATTATACTACATCCTACAAGTGTTTCGTCTTTAGACTCGTTAGTGATATTAAACTTCATCCCACAGGTGTTTTGTGTCTCTACATTCGTCAGTGATATCAAACTACATACTACAAGTGTTTTGTGTCTCTAGACTCGTCAGTGATATTAAACTACATCCTACAAGTGTTTTGTCTCTAGACTCGTCAGTGATATTAAACTACATCCCACAGGTGTTTTGTCTCTCTAGATTCGTCAGTGATATTAAACTACATCCTACAAGTGTTTTGTCTCTCTAGAATCGTCAGTGATATTAAACTACATCCTACAAGTGTTTTGTCTCTCTAGACTCGTCAGTGATATTAAACTACATCCTACAGGTGTTTTGTCTCTCTTGATTCGTCAGTGATATTAAACTACATCCTACAGGTGTTTTGTCTCTCTTGATTCGTCAGTGATATTAAATTACATCCTACAGGCGTTTCGTCTCTACACTCGTCAGTGATATTAAACTACATCCTACAGGTGTTTTGTCTCTCTAGACTCGAGAGAGATATTAAACGATATCCTTCAAGTGTTAAATCTCTCTAGACTCGTCAGTGATATTAAACTACATCCTACAGGTGTTTTGTCTCAGATTCGTCAGTGATATTAAACTAGACTCGTCAGATGATATTAAACTACATCCTACAAGTGTTTTGTCTCTCTAGACTCGTCAGTGATATTAAACTACATCCTACAAGGTGTTTTGTCTCTAGACTCGTCAGTGATATTAAACTACATCCCACAGGTGTTTTGTCTCTCTAGACTCGTCAGAGATATTATACTACATCCTACAAGTGTTTTGTCTCTCTAGAATCGTCAGTGATATTAAACTACATCCTACAAGTGTTTTGTCTCTCTTGATTCGTCAGTGATATTAAACTACATCCTACAGGTGTTTTGTCTCTAGACTCGTCAGTGATATTAAACTACATCCTACAGGTGTTTTGTCTCTAGACTCGTCAGTGATATTAAACTACATCCTACAGGTGTTTTGTCTCTAGACTCGTCAGTGATATTAAACTACATCCTACAGGTGTTTTGTCTCTAGACTCGTCAATGATATTAAACTACATCCTACAGTGTTTTGTCTCTCTAGACTCGTCATATATTAAACTACATCCTACAGGTGTTTTGTCTCTCTAGACTCGTCAGTGATATTAAACTACATCCTACAGTTTTGTGTTTTCTCTCTAGACTCGACTCAGTGATATTAAACTACATCCTACAAGTGTTTTGTCTCTCTAGACTCGTCAGTGATATTAAACTACATCCTACAGGTGTTTTGTCTCTCTAGACTCGTCAGTGATATTAAACTACATCCTACAGGTGTTTTGTCTCTCTAGACTCGTCAGTGATATTAAACTACATCCTACAAGTGTTTTGTCTCTCTAGACTCGTCAGTGATATTAAACTACATCCTACAGGTGTTTTGTCTCTCTAGACTCGTCAGTGATATTAAACTACATCCTACAAGTGTTTTGTCTCTCTAGACTCGTCAGTGATATTAAACTACATCCTACAAGTGTTTTGTCTCTCTAGACTCGTCAGTGATATTAAACTACATCCTACAAGTGTTTTGTCTCTCTAGACTCGTCAGTGATATTAAACTACATCCTACAGGTGTTTTGTCTCTCTAGACTCGTCAGTGATATTAAACTACATCCTACAGGTGTTTTGTCTCTCTAGACTCGTCAGTGATATTAAACTACATCCTACAGGTGTTTTGTCTCTAGACTCGTCAGTGATATTAAACTACATCCTACAGGTGTTTTGTCTCTAGACTCGTCAGTGATATTAAACTACATCCTACAAGTGTTTTGTCTCTCTAGACTCGACAGTGATATTAAACTACATCCTATAGGTGTTTTGTCACTAGACTCGTTAGTGATATTGAACTACATCCTACAGGTGTTACATCTCTCTAGATTCGACAGTGATATTAAACCACATCCTACAAGTGTTACATCTCTCTAGACTCGACAGTGATATTAAACTACATCCTAGAAATGTTTTGTCTCTAGACTCCTCAGTGATATTAAACTACATCCTACAGGTGTTACATCTCTCTAGACTCGACAGTGATATTAAACTACATCCTATAGGTGTTTTGACTCTAGACTCGTCAGAGATATCAAACTACATCCCATAGGTGTTACATCTTTCTAGACTCGACAGTGATATTAAACTACATCCTACAGGTGTTACATCTCTCTAGACTCGACAGTGATATTAAACTACATCCTACAGGTGCTTTGTCCCCTGACTCGTCAGAGATAGTAAACTACATCCTACAGGTGTTTTGTCTCTAGACTCGTTAGTGATATTAAACTTCATACTACAAGTGTTTTGTGTCTCTAGACTCGTCAGTGATATTAAACTACATCCTACAAGTGTTTTGTCTCTCTTGATTCGTCAATGATATTAAACTACATCCTACAGGTGTTAAATCTCTCTAGACTCGTCAGTGATATTAAACTACATCCTACAGGTGTTACATCTCTCTAGACTCGACAGTGATATTAAACTACATCCTATATTAAACTACATGCTACCGGTGTTTTGTCTCTAGACTCCTCAATGATATCAAACAAAATACCACAGGCGTTTTGTTTGTAGACTCGTCACAGATATTAAACTACATCCCTTAGTTGTTTTGTCTCTACATCTCTCTAGACTTGTCAATGATATTAAACTACATCCTACAGGTGCTTTGTCCCCTGACTCGTCAGAGATATTAAACTACATCCTACATGTGTTTTGTCTTTGTAAATCTGACTGGCCATTGAATGGGCACAACTAAGGACCAAAAGTTATGTAAGTATGAAATACGAGAAAGATCAGACATTTCCAAAAAGTTTCCATTGTCAAAATCCTAGATTGTCGCCTGTCTGCCATTGTTTTCTGATCAGCCCCAAAATGAAAAGTTAACAAATAAGCGCCACTTACATGTGAAATTTGCAAAAGATCCATCAAGTATTTCTGAAAAATAGAGATGACAAACTATTACATCAAAATCAAAGATGGTAGCCTGGCCACGCTATTTTTTGGATCAGTGAAAAATGGGACAATGCACAACTAGAGACTGAGTGGCCCCTACATATAATATTTGAAAACTATCCACCAAGCACTTCTGAAGAAATAGAGATAACAATCTATTCTGTCAAAATCCAATGGCCACCTGTCGGCCATGTTATATTTTGGATCTGTTTGAAAATGGGTCAATGCACAAAAGGTGCATCCAGTACTTCTCAAGAAGTAGCGATTACAAGTATCTTAAGGACCGAGAGGCAGACAAAGAACCACAGACTATGAATGACGGATCACAGACAACAGACCGAAGACTCTTGGCATTTGCTAAAATCAGCATTTTGAAAAATTCAATCATTGGATGATGGTGGGCTAAAAATAACAAAATAGTAAAAAGAATTTTAATTTTTACTACATCTTATTTTTCACCCACAATTATTTCTGTAAATGGTTACACTTTATTTATACTATATTTAGACACACAAACACATTTGTAAATAATTACAATTAAACTTCACGTTATCATCAAAGAATTAAAACTCAAATCTCAAACAGTTTTATAACATATAGTGGATACTCCGTAAATAAAATGGACATTGTTTTATAATGAAATTGTAGAAATCTTGTGACCATAGCATTTTAAAAACAAATTTTGTTTAAGTTCAACATTTTCCAATTTATTAACTAATTATAAAAGCTAGGTGAGGGTGTTCTGGTGAAAAACCATGATCACTAAAATCTGACTAGTCTAAATGCCATTTCATTTTTGTCACTGAACCATGACAACTGAGCCTTGTTAAATCACATTAATTAAAATAATTTAATTGACTCACCTCTTTATCATTAAACTAGAGCTTTAACAATTAAATGACACCATATGTTACTTTTGATGTTTGTCCTTAGCAGAAATATTTTTTTGTTGAGGTCATGAAAACACTTAGCAAACACATAAGCAGTATTATGAACTGTCCTTTAAGACTCAAATCAATATACTACAAGTATTGTGATCAACCTTGTTTTTTTCTCAAAGATACATATTGAACTTTGACACACTCTATATAAATATAATTTCTACTAGAAATACAGTGATCAAATTTGACCTATTCTAAAAGACATGCTCTGATGAACTTTGACCTCTTTTAAAAGTAACACTGTTTTGATTTTCTGCCACTTCGTAAAAAACTTTTGCTTTTCCTCAAAGAAATTTGTTCCAACAATAATTATGACAATTATTAGAAAAAATGACATGCTCCACAAGAAAGCATGGTTTCTTAAACAATTCATATCATGTCATGCTTTCATCTTAAACAAGAGAACTGTATGTGTCGCCTGCATAAAGTGTCACAGTCACCCAGAAATTGGACTGGATGTGCAACGATCAACCATAAAGTTGTAATACCAAATTTCATTTCTACAACTTGAAGCATAACCAAAGAAAGTCAGGAAAACAATATTCCCAGAGAATTGTCTAAGTTCAAAGGGGCATAACTCAGCCAAGAAAGACCACAGACAGCCAGGAATCAAACTTAATCTGTACCCTTGCAACAAGAAGCCATATACCAAATTTCATTTCGATAACTCAAAGCATAAGCCAAAAAAGTCCGGAAAACAATATTCCCAGGAAATTTTCTAAGTTGAAAGGGGCATATCTCTGCCAAAATGCGTCACAGACAGCTGTGAATCCAGCTTAATCTGTACTCTTGCAACAAAGAGCCACATGCCAAATTTCATTTTGATAACTCAAAGCATTACCGAAGAAAGTCCGGAAAGCTTTCGTATGGACGACCACGCCCCCGCTGCCAACAACGATGACGCGTGACGTTGAACAAAGTGATCCCTTAGTGTCAGCCAGCTCTGCAGGCGACACAAAAATTGTACAAAAACTTTTTGGAATTAAAAAAAAAACATACTGCAGACAATTTTCCATTTTAACAATAGAATTACCAAAAGTATCATATGCTAAAATAATAGAGGAACACACTAATTGTATCATCTAGAATTTTTAGAATTCTAAATTCACTACAACAGATGTAGAAAGCCTTATTATCAACACAGGTTTATTGTTATACAATACTGTTAAGCTGTCAAAAATACCTCAATGTCATCACGAAGCGATACATACTATAAACATATACAGTTGTTGTCAGACAAACAGTTAATCCATTGTATTTATACTGTGATAAACTGAGGGGGTCAACAGACGTCTCCACATTCACTGTATTTATACTGTGATAAACTGAGGGGGTCAACAGACGTCTCCACATTCACTGTACTTATACTGTGATAAACTGAGGGGGTCAACAGACGTCTCCACATTCACTGTACTTATACTGTGATAAACTGAGGGGGTCAACAGACGTCTCCACATTCACTGTACTTATACTGTGATAAACTGAGGGGGTCAACAGACGTCTCCACATTCACTGTACTTATACTGTGATAAACTGAGGGGGTCAACAGACGTCTCCACATTCACTGTACTTATACTGTGATAAACTGAGGGGGTCAACAGACGTCTCCACATTCACTGTACTTATACTGTGATAAACTGAGGGGGTCAACAGACGTCTCCACATTCACTGTACTTATACTGTGATAAACTGAGGGGGTCAACAGACGTCTCCACATTCACTGTACTTATACTGTGATAAACTGAGGGGGTCAACAGACGTCTCCACATTCACTGTACTTATACTGTGATAAACTGAGGGGGTCAACAGACGTCTCCACATTCACTGTACTTATACTGTGATAAACTGAGGGGGTCAACAGACGTCTCCACATTCACTGTACTTATACTGTGATAAACTGAGGGGGTCAACAGATGTCTCCACATTCACTGTATTTATATTGTGATAAACTGAGGGGGTCAACAGACGTCTCCACATTCACTGTATTTATACTGTGATAAACTGAGGGGGTCAACAGACGTCTCCACATTCATTGTATTTATTGTATCTATATCTAACAGTCAAGCAGTGATATCATAAGCTAGATTTTTTAGCCTGGGCCACCTTGGAATGTGTAGGACAATCTATAGCCGAGGAAATATACTGTCCTGCCTCCAGTAGCTTCTGTATATTGATACCCTGAGAAAGTAAAATGAAAAATCGAAGTTACAAATCACTCATGTTGAAAACAAGATACCTAGCCACTATGACGGTCACCTGAAATAAGTAATATTAAATATAAAGGTTAAATTGTTTAAGGACGCAAGACATTGGATGAAGTTGATTGCAACAGGTTACCACGAGTCTTTGTCTCAGGTGACCTAAATTATCCATTGAAATCTGGTTAACACCGTTTATGGATTAATTTTAATGACCTTTAAGTTGTTAACTGGTTTTAAGTGTTATGACTTACATAATCATATTAAGAATTATATATCTTATTTTATTGACTAGTATAGGGATTGTCTTACTTCAGAAATTATCACCAACTCTATTAGCTAATCAAAAGGGAGTTAACAAACAATGAAACAATAATTATTAGCCAATGAAAATGCTTGTTTCGAGAAAAAAATAAATAATATCCTCTTGGTAAAAGGAGAAATAATATAAACTCACCGTTTTGATATTAAGACCATTCAACATGTAGACAACGTCCTCAGTGGAGACATTACCACTGGCACCTTTGGCATATGGACAGCCACCGAGTCCTGCTACAGAACTGTCTACAACTGACACTCCCATCTGTGTACAAAAAATAACGTCAAACAATTCAAAATGTGTTGTGACAAGGAGGATCAAAAAGCTAATTTCCAGAATCAAGAATTTTAGAATCAAAGTAAGATATCATTCATTAAATGTTTCATATCTTAGCTTTTATACAACAGAGGTGTCTTTATTTATTTCAATGCCTCTACTAGGATTCCAACTCAGGACCACTGGATAGTATTACCAGCGTTACATACTCTCCCTCTCGGAAATAATTAGTCCTTAAGTTTCCAAGGGTAACAGCATTGCTTATGAAAGTAACAATAAGTGGTATTCCTGAGTCCCTAAATTAACACCAATGTAACAGCGGTCATTATTTATTTCAATGCCTCTGTAAAGATTCGAACTCCGGACCACTAATTTACAAGCCTGACACTCAACAATCAAGCCAAGGAAAAGTTTTCTCCAGCCAAGCGGTAAACTGCGGTCAGGATTTGACTAGAGTTACCATTATCTAATGTAAATATTTTTAGCGCGTAAAATTTCCATCATTACACCTCAAGCTTTCTTTTACATTGAGTGGTCAGTTGGCAGAGTGGCAATGTGTTAAATGGTGACCAGAGTGTGATGACCTGAAGAGATTTGGAGAAGTATACTGTTTAATGACTTTCCCTAGTATATGGTTTTTCTCTTGGTACTCATCCAACAGTAAGATCCTTACTAGTTCTATACAGGTAAAAATGTCTCACAATAGATGTAAACACAATACATATACTTTGGGTGACCATGGTTACACCACTCAATAAGGATATAATATCATGGTTAAATCTGAGCATGCAAAAAGTTATCTTTTTACAATGAAACATGGCCATGTTATGTGGTACATTTGACCTATTTAATGACCGTTTTGAGAGCTAAAACCTACCTGTAAAGCAGCAAAAATATTGGCCAAAGCTTGACCATAAGTATCATGGCAGTGAACAGCCAGTTTGTTGACCGGTACACTTTTCATCACTTCAGTAAGCATTTTCTTCATTCCTCCAGGGGTGCCAATTCCTATCGTGTCTCCGAGAGAAATCTCATAACAACCCATGTCATACATACTCTTAGATACCTAAAACAGCCGATCAAATATGGTGTAACAATAGATATGTTGCAAGGATCCATATCAGTGGTACTTTTAAACTTAAATAAGCAGATATGTTGTACATGCACTACAATAACCTATATTACAACTTTACCTGGGCTACTTTTTCTGGTGCCACATCTCCTTCATACGGACATCCCAGTACACAGGAAACATACCTGCAATAAACCAAAATAAAGCACCTTGACTTCATCAAAATCTACTTCTGATAATTCTTTACTGGTATTTTAAACAAAACTTTCAAATACTTTACCGTGGAACACCATATTTTCCTGGGTTTTTTCATCATAATCACTTCCCCACTTCTCTCAGAAAATTTTATTTAAAAAAAAAAAAAAGTTTATTATAAGTGTATTTAATATTGTTTGTTGTTAATAATTTCCAGTCTTGACTACAAATACAGGAATAAACAGGTGACCCCCTATTGGCAATGGTTTATTTCAAATTGGTAATAACTTTTTATATGCACTATTAAGGATCAAGGAAAATCCAAAGATGAAATCCCTCTCAAAGAACAGTGGTGACCAACTGCAATTATCTAAATCCATGTTGTTTTTTCAATCAGTCCAAAAATAAATTATGCACAACTTATGATCAACAGGAATCATTAATCCAGTGTTTCTCAAGAAATGACTACAGTAACCTAACACTGTCAATATTGTTGCCTTTCAGCCATTTTCTGAGCAGTCCCTCAACTTTAGGGTCGCTTTCCAGTCATTTTCTGATCAGTCCCTCAATTTTAGGGTCGCCTTTCAGCCATTTTCTGATCAGTCCCTCAATTTTAGGGTCACCTTTCAGCCGTTTTCTGATCAGTCCCTCAATTTTAGGGTCGCCTTCTTGCCATTTTCTGATCAGTCCCTCAATTTTAGGGTCGCCTTTCAGCCATTTGCTGATCAATCCCTAAATTTTAGGGTTGCTTTCCAGCCATTTTCTGATCAATCCCTCAATTTTAGGGTCGCTTTCAGCCATTTTCTGATCAATCCCTAAATATTAGGGTCGCCTTCAGCCATTTTCTGAACAGTCCCTCAATTTTAGGGTCGCCTTCCAGTCATTTTCTGATCAATCCCTAAATTTTAGGGTTGCCTTTCAGTCATTTTCTGATCAGTCCCTCAATTTTAGGGTCGCCTTTCAGCCATTTTCTGATCAATCCCTAAATTTTAGGGTCGCTTTCAGCCATTTTCTGATCAATCCCTCAATTTTAGGGTCGCCTTTCGCCTTTCAGCCATTTTCTGAACAGTCCCTCAATGTTAGGGTCGCCTTCCAGTCATTTTCTGATCAATCCCTCAATTTTAGGGTCGCCTTTCAGCCATTTTCTGATCTGTCCCTCAATTTTTGGGTCACCTTCCAGCCGTTTTCTGATCAGTCCCTCAATTTTAGGGTCGCCTTCTTGCCATTTTCTGATCAGTCCATCAATTTTAGGGTCGCCTTCCAGCCATTTTCTGATCAGTCCCTCAATTTTAGGGTCACCTTTCAGCCATTTTCTGATCAGTCCCTCAATTTTTGGGTCACCTTCCAGTAAAACACAGATTTCAAAGCTGATGGGACAGTATTCGACTTAACCAATGGTTTACTGGATACATGTCTCAATGCTGTTTACTGGATACATGTCTCAATGCATTTTCTGATATGTGTCCATCAATTTTAGCTGTTTACTGGATACATTTCTCAAGCCTGTTTTCTGGATAAATGTCTCAATGCTGTTTACTGGATAGTGTCACCTTGTTTACTGGATATGTGTCTCATGTTTACTGGATACATGTCCCTGTTTACTGGAATGTGTCTCAAGCTGTTTACTGGATAAATGTCTCAAGGCTGTTACTGGATACGTGTAAAACACAGATAAGTCAAAGCTGATGGGACCAAATGAAATATTCGACTTAACCAATGGTTTACTGGATACATGTCTCAATGCTGTTTACTGGATATGTGTCTCAATGCTGTTTACTGGATACATTTCTCAAGGCTGTTTACTGGATAAATGTCTCAAGGCTGTTTACTGGATACATGTCTCAATGCTGTTTACTGGATATGTGTCTCAAGGCTGTTTACTGGATACGTGTCTCAAGGCTGTTTACTGGATACATGTCTCAATGCTGTTTACCGGATAGGTGTCTCGAGGCTGTTTACTGGATAAATGTCTCAAGGCTGTTTACTGGATACATGTCTCAATGCTGTTTACTGGATATGTGTCTCAAGGCTGTTTACTGGATACGTGTCTCAAGGCTGTTTACTGGATACATGTCTCAATGCTGTTTACCGGATACGTGTCTCGAGGCTGTTTACCGGATACGTGTCTCGAGGCTGTTTACCGGATACATGTCTCAATGCTGTTTACCGGATACGTGTCTCGAGGCTGTTTACCGGATACGTGTCTCGAGGCTGTTTACTGGATACGTGTCTCGACGCTGTTTATTGGATACGTGTCTCGAGGCTGTTTACTGGATACGTGTCTCAATGCTGTTTACTGGATACGTGTCTCAAGGCTGTTTACTGGATACGTGTCTCAGTGTAACAGTAAGAAATAAGTAATAAATAAAAAACAAATCATGTTACTTTTTACACTAACAATATCTTTTATTTAAATAAACATTTATAAGTACAAATATAAAACAAACAAGCAAATTCATGGAATTTATATCCCCCGCATTCCAAACATATTGTAAGTAAATATTTTAGAGGTTCGGTTGTAAACATGTCATAATGCTATGTAGAATGATATATTCTCTTGAGCTATGGTGTATTGCTTTAAAGCCAAAGAAAGATGTAAAGGATTATAGAGAGTAGATGTTTTATTGGACATATCAAATATTAACCAATAAAGTGAACTAATTGAAGAAAACTTGCATACTAGTAACTTTAATGGTGCTAAGCAGATCCATGGTCATCAGCAGGTACAGCAGTCCACATAATATGATGATCAGTATAGGGGACTGGATAATATTTGTGGGACTTCAAGTCTAAATCGGATTATATTTAGGAAAGTTACAGCACAAAAGTAAACTGACCAATGAAATCAAAGGATATGTCAGATGACACTGATAGTCAAACTCAGTCTTAATGACCTCAAGATGCATCTGCTGACCAAGTTTCACCCAAATTGGATGATATTTGGGGAAGTCAGAACACGGAAACGAAAGTGTAACAGACATATAGACGGCAGGACGGACAGACTGACGGACGGACAAACCAAATTTCATTTCATGGTCTCTCCCTCTAGGAAACGTTATAGCAGTGTGGAATCTCCCCAACGTTCTGCAGAGGAAGACAATGTCATTCATCTTTCTCCTGGGTGCTCGGAGATTGATTCATCCAAGTCATCTGATCATGACCCTCCCGGCCAGAAGGGTTCCAAAGGGGGAAGATGGCCCTGATACTGCTGAAGCCAAGGCTCAGCATGTGCTTTCGGGGATCCCGGCCCTCCGGGCCGACATCTCCTGGATTCTCAGGGCGGAGGTTTGGCAACCGCCTTCTGCATCGTAGGTGCTCGAATCCACCTCCTTTCAGTTCTGAAAACCCGCCCAGTCGAGTAACTCTACCGTTCCCGCTTGTTGACTGCCCCCTTCTAGGGCTCTACCCTATTCAGGGAAACGGCGGTCCTCCCGTTCCTGGCTCTTGTCCTTCTCCCACAGGCTCAGGCTCCGGGTGGGCAGATGATTCGCTGGTCTGGCAGGGGCTCAATCTGCCCCATCCAGAACTCCCTGTGGGCAGGCGTCTCTCTGCTTCCCTTCCCCAGTGGCAGGAGATCACAGAGGACGCTTGGGCTTTGTCTGTGTTCAAGGAGGGTTTAGGTATTCCCCTTCTTCGGGATCCACCCCTTGCCGCCCGCCTGATTTTCTTTCCTCAACCGGGGGATTTGGAAAAGGCTCGGGCGCTCCAGGAGGAAGTAGGGACCATGCTAGCCAAGGGCCTGATGCCCTTCTGGCTCATAATAGCACCTTTGGTGTTGCTGCAGGTGGTCATGGGATTCCTTCACTCACGCGAAATAGATGTCCACATTTATTTCAAGGACTCCCTCATGCTTTGTATGATGAAGGAATCGCTAGTGAAGGACACTCGTCTGGTCCTGAAACTCTTGCTCAGAGTCGGCTTCATTCCTTCCAGAGAGAAGTCAGAGGTTTCTCCATCTCAGGACTTCATCTTCCTGTGGAACTGTTTCGTCATGGTTTGGGGCTTAGCCCTTCCACCTCTAGAGAAGTTTGAGAAGGCCAGGGCTCTGACCTTCATTGCTTGGTCGCTTGTCCAGGTACTTTGGTTCCTCAGTTTTCTGGGTTATCTCAACTCCCTGGCAGATGTGGTCCCCCTTGGGAGGCTTCACATCAGACCTCTCCAGATGTTCCTCATGTCCAACTGGGTTCCATCATCCAGGAGTGGGAGGCCTGGATTCCGCTTACCCAGTCGGTCAGGGAGTTTGCTCCCTGGTGGACCATTCAGTAGAACGGATATCATATCGTATATATCATCCGCATCCTTCTTCTCTGCCAGGACATGCAGTTGACCATAGCAGTCAAGCATCTTCCTGGCAGGCTGAATGTGTTGGCGGACACTCTCTCCAGGCGCTGCCAGCCGGTGTTGACGGAATGGCAGCTGTGTCCCTTGATTTTCAAGGGGAATTGTCAGATGTGGGACAGACCTCTTATAGACCTGTTTACCACTTCCCTGAACAACCAGCTGCCAACCTTCATCTCCCCGGTGCCAGACCAAAAGGCTTGGGCTGTGGACGCCCTTTCTCTGGACTGGGAAGGGATGTATGCATATGCATTCCCTCCCTTCAACCTGGTGGGCAGGGTGCTACAGAAGTTCTGAGACAACCTTGGTTTCCGGAGCTCTTGTTGTTTCTCGTGGAGGAGCCCTTGGCTCTCCCCACCAGACCGAATCTCCTCGGTCCAGAACGACACACTCTCGACCAGAGATCCTCCACCTTCACGCGTGGAGGCTATCTTTGGAAGCCCCGCCAAGGCAGGCTTTTCTCGAGAGGTGTCCAATCTCATCGAGTGATCAATCAGGGCTTCCTCTTCTGCTGTCTACTTGTCACGTTGGAAGATCTTCTGTGATTGGTGTGTTGGCAGGAAGGTTGATCCGTTCGAAGCCTCTGTGCAGTTGATTGCGGATTTCCTACTCTCTCTGTTTAGGGATTGCAATCTGGCACCTGGCACTATCGCTGGCTATCGTACAGCTATTGCCAGTGTCCTTGCGTGTTATGGCAGGAAAGAGATAGGTTCGTCCTCCTCTCTTTCTGCCTTAATCAGAGGCTTCGCTCTGGAAAGACCCAGTGTTCGGCAGCTGGCCCCACAGTGGAATCTGGCCCTGGTGCTAGATTCCCTGATTAGGGCTCCTTATGAGCCTCTGGAGTCTGCCTCGTTAAGGTTTGTAACTTTCAAGGCAGTCTTCCTTTTGGCTGTTTTTGCCCATCAAACAGGGACAACGAAATATCTCCTCCCAGTCGGTTTTCAGGTGGGTTTGCCAGGGGGTTAAGTATGCTTACGAGCATTCTGATGATCAAGCTCGGGCGAGAGTAAAAGTGCGGGCTCATGAGGTCAGGGCCCTCGCTGCGTCCTTGGCCCTTCTCAATGGGTCCTCCTTTCAGGAGATCCTGTCTGCTGCCTTCTGGTGGGGCAGGGATACCTTCACAGATCTTTATCTGCGATACCTAGCTTCCCACTCAGAAGGCCTGTATTCGTTGGGACCTCTGGTGGTGGCATAGTCAGTGGCTGGGCCTCCTTGTTAGCCCGAGGCATGTCTTTCTGTACAGCGGCATGTGGGTACACCTGCTCTTTCACAGAGAGGTCCCTTCCTTCTCTTTGGCACTCTGTTCTCCCTCCCTACTACTTTGGCTGTGCTGAAGGGGCTGCCTGGCTTCTAGTCACCACTACGGTAAGACGAATTCGCTTACTAAATTTATGGTAATTATTACTGAAATGATATTGAGGTTTTTTTCATGTAAAACCAATTTTCATGAGGTAATACTTACTATAACTTTATGGAGTCCCACCCTATCCTCCCCTCTTCCTTATTTGCCTGGCTGCCCCTCTGTGGGGTACTCCATAAAGGTTATTAGAGGAAAGGAGATCACTCTATGTTCCTGCGGTGATGGCTCATGGATCGTAGGAATGACAGGTTTGTTTGAATCTTTTGTTGTTGGGATACAAAGATGTGTGTCGGTACTGTATTTGCATTATAAAGTTATGGTAAGTATTACCTCATGAAAATTGGTTTTACATGAAAAAAAACTCCAATTAATATCCCCCCGTTTCAGTGAAAGCGGGGGATAAAAAAAACTAATGTAAAACACTCGTCATTGAATTGCAGCTCACATGTCAATACACAACCACTCTCACACACATAATTTGTGAAATCGATACTTAAAGTGTACTCACAACTATATCTTTAAGATTAACAATTCCCATCAACAATATTATAAATTAAACTCAATAAATTCCTACTCAATAACATTCTACGTTAATACAAAATCAGTAACCCTGGGTTACAAAAAGGTGAAGGTTGCGGCAACATCGCTGAAGTATAACTTTACACGTACAGCTTTGTAAGAGCGTAACTGTTATCAAGTTTTTTTTTTCCTTTTGGTTTCTGTCAGCCATGCATGCACATAAAAATAAACAAAACACAGTAGATGTACCCAAGACAAGGTGGTGTGACGCCTGAATGTTTGACACAAAAAAAGGAACTTTTGGTATAATTTAGAAGGGATGGAACACAAGTTATATTCAACTCAAATGCAGTTTTTGATTCAACAGTGTTCCAAGCATCTGAGATTTACCAAGATAATGGAAGAAAAAAATTGGGAAGGAACAAAACATTCAATTTGTCTGATGTATTTGGTTCAAGCGTGTTTAACACAAGTAAGTTTTTCTGTATATACATATGTAAAACAACTACAGAAAGGCGAAAACAAACTATAATTACTGTTTAAATCCAAGATGAACAACATGACATATAATTCATCCAGCACATCTCAAGAAATCGTGATAACAAGAATTGTTTAAGGGAGAAGGATTGATGATGAACAAAGGGTAATTTGACAAGTTTGCCCACTATCTGCTGATGATAGCCTAAAAAATTCATCTGGTTTAAAAAACCTTCAGTTAAACTACACAAAGGCCATTATTACCTGATGTAAAAAAGCGATCAGGAAACAAATTCTTTATGCAACATGTTACAGCTAAGTCATTGCAGCGGATCTCTAAATCTTTATATACAGATGAATGGTACCTAAAATGGCCAACACAGGTAAAGCCTACAAGTTTTACTTACCCTCTAACAGGCATCTTACATTCCTTAGCAGCCTTCATGACTTCTTCAAATCGCTTCAAGCTATCTTCTATACTACAGTTTATGTTTTTTCTGTAAACAATCAAGAAAGAAAACTATTAAATAAACATATCAATAAATATCACATTGCATAAATTCATGGTACTTCACAGAAAGTTTTTAGTCTTTCAACAACAGATCTGTTATCAGTGTGATATTATCTAAGCATCATAACTCTTCTATTGGTAATTTTGATAAAGTAAACTTAGATACCTGATAAAATACATTAACAAAGTGAGCCACAGCTCACATAGATATACAAAGTGAGCCACAGCTCACATAGATATACAAAGTGAGCCACAGCTCACATAGATATACAAAGTGAGCCACAGCTCACATAGATATCCACCTAGTTTCGGTCTTTTTATTTTTTAACCAAATCTGATCATGAAATATCTTGTTCACATCAAGCTATCAATGACTTCAACTACTGAAAGACTAAAAGGTAGTAATATCAGACAAGAAGCCTGTTCAGAAGTAGTCTAATATAACCTTTGACCCTGGCAGATGACCATCAAGATATAATCAGGTGTAGAATTTGATGCTATGGTGTAGATATTAACTAAATCTGTGCATGGCTTGTACACACGCTTCAACTTTCAAAATTGGCATGACCTTTGACCTTTAACCTTGACTCATGGCCACTACTATCCAATTGTATAGGGATTCATGTGATATCTGAGATCCTGCACATAGGCACATACTGACTTGTTGGCTTCACATACCTGCTGAAGCTTTCAGAAGCTGCTCCAAATATGGCCACCTCAGAGACTTTCGCATTTACCTGTAAGACAAATATAATTAAAGATTCAAACACACATAACTTTGAAATTAAGCTGAAAAAATATCTAAAAAAGATTTTTCTTTCCTTATTCATATTGTGATTTACAACAGAATATTTTTTACACCCAAATCATTCTTACTCTTTGTCTTCTTAACCTATAATTATCATGTGTTTAGAATAAGGAATTCCGTTTTGGATACATTGAAAACTGTTGTTCACAATGGCATTGTAACTTTCTTTTCTTATGTTCTCCATTGTCTTACATGACAATGAATGAATATCTTTATGAGAACTTCTTTCATATTCTCCTTTCCTGAACTGATTGAATCTGTTAACATATAAACAGATTTAAATATTAATTTTCTCTGTCAATGATAAGAATCCAATACTTAATAGAAAGCTGAGAAGCAGGCTGCTAATTGTCATCCCAAAGCTAAGATACAGTGTCCATTCTTTCTAACATAAATCTGTCAAATTTGAGTTAACAAGTAAAAGCTAACTAGACTACAGAAAATTCTATGCAATTTAGTTAATTTTAACTTTCAAATTGCCAAAGGACTAGAATGTAAAGTGACAATTCTGTGATATCAAGGTTGGCTGGTCCAATGTAAGATCAAGGGAGGCAATCCTATCAGATAGTATTGGAGAGACTTACAGCACTTTTAAATCCTTGAAGATTGGGTGTGAGAGCAGCATAGGAGATATTTGGATGTCGCTTGATTCCCTGTAGGACTTCTGTATGATCTGCCATCTAGACAAAAGGAGACAGAAATTGATTAAAAACATTATGTATATCATATTCAAGTGTTTATGGTCTACTTACACTATTTACATAATATAGACTGGTATATATCTAGTAATAATTTCAACTAAGATTTTACAAAACTTCCGGTATGACGGTGTAAGCGAGTGGACGTACCTACAGGTGTCTCCGTAAATTTGTTTATTTTTCCCTTAAAGTGATTCTTTTTGAACTTTGAATTGACAGTTGCGAAAAAGAATTGTGAGTAGAAGACTTTTCAGGTATTGTGGAGTCGCTTTGTCGGTGTTTTTGAACTGGTTTGTAAGTTTTGTGTCTAACGACCTGTATTTTTACGTGTATACATGTCATTGCACGTGCAGTTACTATCATGCCACCCAAAGCAACAAAAACTAGAAGTGAGTCGACATATAAATGCGACGATTTCTCAGATATAAGTGAATGCTTCAGACAATTAGATAGATGAATTTCAGGGGAAATAGCAACTCAGAAAAATGAAGTCTCGAAAATAAATGCAGAAGTCACGTCGGTCAAAGACAGAGTATTTGAAAATGAAAAAGCTTTAGAGCATGTGGATGAGGAAATCTCCACCAAAAAAAGTGATATTTCTGCAGAAACAAACGAAAGGCTTAGTCTTGAGTTGTGGGGGCGCAAGTGGAACCTGGTTTTTCGAGGTATTGAGGGGGAGGTGAGGGAGGAGCCACGGACCACCCTAAAACAGGTAAGGGATTTTCTGAAAGATAGTCTTGAAATTAATGATGAGGTTACTAGGAACCTCTTATTTACAGCTGTACATCGATTGCCCAGTGGTCAACCTAGAAAGAAAAACATTATTGTTCGTTTTTCGGCCCTTATGGACAGGGATTTTGTCCTCAAACAGGCTATGTCCAAACTTAAACCAGGGTTGGGCTTTGCAGTGGTACCTGACCTACCACCATCTTTGGCCAAACTCCGTCAAGAATTACTTGGTAAAAGGAAAAATCTCCCTGTAGATGAGAAGAGGAAGACCAAACTGATATACTTGAAGAACGCGCCTTTCCTGACACTTGAAAAAAAGTAACTCTTCTACACATGTATAATATATACTTCTGGTGTGTATGCATACAACATACAAGGACAGTATAGAAGTATGTATACGTACATGGATAACATGGTACAGTACAGAAAAGATCGAGTCATAGTGTTGATATCAAGAAAAGACAGTAAAAATGATTAGATTCATTGGTTATCAATTAAAAACAATAAATATACAGTTGTGTACAAGTATACTTGATATATATATACATTTACTATTAGATACTATCATGTGAAGGGTTTATAAAAGCCTAAATGTGTATACGAAGTACATGTAATTTCTGCTGTGCACCTTCAAATTCTGTAAGTAAATATTTCAAGTGTACCCAGGTTGTTGTAGCCAAAATGAGATGTTATGTGCGTCTCTGGTCACAAGTTATGATGTTTGATTATATACGTTTGGAATGTGTACGATATCTGTGTTATACTTGTGAGAATAACACCAGTAAAGTGCCTTTAATGCCGTAAGTAATAACCTAATTTTATGTCTATAATCCATTTCCATGGTGTACATGTACAATAAAGAGAACTGGATGACCTAACACATTCCGATCGCACGTGCATGACACTAAATTCTATAGACTGACCTCACGGCCACAACTACCCGAGTGTGTGTGTTTTCTATGGATAGTGTTGCTATTGGTGTCTAAACCCGTGTATACAAGTAATGTACAGAATATAAAGTAAAACATCATACCCAGTTACTAGTTACTGAAAAAATGTGAAAGTTATCTTGCCTACAATATAAAGATAATACTCCATAGCTTTTTACTCATCTGGTAACAAACTCTAATACTACAATTCTAAAGTATTGTAATGTTTGTATTTTTTTAGTATCAAGGCCAATTGAAATGCTTCATATAAAAAGTATGTAGTAAGGCCGCTTAAAACAGGAAACAGATACTTCACATTTGCGCTTGCACGGTTTCACATAAAATGGCAGCCACCATTGAACAACACATACTCGCCGAATGTTGAAGGTAACAAATAGCAAATGCAACACATATAGTCACAATGTCATCTGTTATTATTAAAAACCAAACAATCGTGAATCTTCATCATGATTCGTTATCTTTGCCGGAGTGTTTTGTTTTCTTTTTATTATTTTTTCCACATGTAGCTTCGAGGCGATCCAGTACAATACCAACACAAACAGTGCATTCGGAATTGTTCTGACGACTGTTACGATCTCTATTTGAAAAACTAAAAAGCTACAATATGCATTAGGTAAATGAATTAGGTCACTACTAAAATTGATGTACATGTACGTACTATTCAATTATCTACTACATGTACAAGTCGAGTACAGACAAAATTAGACCAGACCTGCACTCTTCAATTTCATTTTTTCTTTTATGACATTTTTTGTGTTTAAAACATATAATATAATACAGAAATGTAAGCTAGTTGAAGGCAAGTTATGTTTAGTATGTTTGTTGGTTTCATGTCTATAGCTGTAAAGAAGACACCTGTAAGTGGACTGAAGTACAATGAACATCTCTTATTTTTTAATAATTGAAATGATTTGTAGTCGGACTAGTGGAATAGAGAATATATTCTCTATTGAAGTTGGAGAGGGAAGCTGGGGGGAAAGGGGAAATTTTGTATTGTCTTACATCACAATATCATTCATGTATTCATACATTTTTACATGCTGTCAACTGTCAATGGACCATATAATCTGTTCTTACATTTATGATATTAGCATTTTACTATGTATGTTAAAAATCATAGTTGTATATTTAGTTAATGGCTGAAGGTCTCAGGATTGGATGTGTAAATTGTAGAGGGTTGTCCTCAGATCCAATAAAGCGCAGGAATTTTTTTTGACAAATGTAGGAAAAATTATGATATAACTTTCCTTATAGATACACATTCCATTAAAAAAGTTGAAAACTTATTGAAAATAGAATGGGGATATGAGGCCTGGTTTAGTTCATATGTATCGAACAGTAGAGGGGTAGCAATCTTGTTTAAAAATTCTTTTGGTTTCTCTTTGTTATCCAGGAAAGAAGATGCAAATGGTAATTTTTTAATGGTGAATATTCATTTAACCTCATGCGATAGGAACTTAACTCTAGTAGCAGTGTATGGACCAAACAGCACAGATGTAAACTTTTATCATCAACTCTCTCACCACCTTGAATTTTGTGAAAATACGTCAATCATTATAGGTGGGGATTGGAATGCACCACAGAATTATTGTAAAGATACTAAGAATTACACCAATAGAAATAATGTAATCAATCAAGGTAGAATTATAGACATTGTGGATTCTTTTGATCTTGTAGATATCTGGCGAGAGCAGCATCAAGATGTAAATTTTTATACTTGGCATGGTCCAAATAGGAAACACTCAAGACTAGACTATTTTCTGGTATCCTCTGATTTAATCTCTGCTGTAACAAAAAGTGACATAGGCATAAGCTATAGATCAGACCACAGTGTTAGAATTTATTAAACAAAAAAGGGAACATGGAGGTTTAATAATAGTTTGCTGAGAGATCCAGACTATATAGATTTAGTAAAGGGATGTATAAATGAAGTAGTTAATAAATATGCAGAAAATCCTGAGGTAGAAAACAAAGACTTGTTGACATTTAGTATCAGTGACTCTTTATTATGGGAAACCATGAAATTTACTCTTAGGGGAAAAACTATTGCTTATACAGCACAGAAAAAAAGAGGACGGGAAAGGGAAGAAAAACAGTTAGAAACCAGATTAAAAACACTACAAAAAGCAAAATATAGACAGCTAGAACTTATTGGAGAGGTAGAGAATGACCTAAAACTACTCAGGGAGAGGAAAATAAATGGTATTGTTTTAAGGGCAAAATCAAGGTGGAAAGTAGAAGGTGAAAAATGTTCCAAATATTTTTGTAATCTGGAGAAGAGACATTTTCAGGAAAAACTAATTCCGAAACTTATAAAAGATAATGGACAAGAGATAACTGATTTAGAAGAGATTATTCAAGAACAGAAACATTACTACGAAAAATTATATACAAAAAATACAGCAGAAGGAAATCAGCATATTTTTTTTTGATGATACAAATCCATTCATAAAAAAATTGTCTGTCGCACAAATTGATGAATTAGAAGGTAAATTAGAATACAGAGAGTGTCTCTTCTCAGTAAAAAGTATAAAGAACAATAAATCGCCTGGTATTGATGGATACACTGTAGAGTTCTATAAATTTTTCTGGCCAGATATTCATTATTTTTTTGATACGATCTTTAAACCAGGCACATATAGGTGGTCAATTTTCTATTTCACAACGACGTGGTATAATTACATGTATCCCTAAGGAAGGAAAGTCTAAGTTGTATATGAAAAATTGGAGGCCCATAACTCTTTTAAATGTAGATTATAAAATTGCATCATCTGTTATTTCGAATAGGATAAAGAAAGTTTTAGATACTCTTATTAGTGATACACAGAAAGGCTTTATAAAAGGTAGATATATAGGAGAGTGCACTGGATTGGTTGCAGACATAATAGAAAATACTGAAAAAAGTAATATTCCAGGACTTCTTTTATTGATTGACTTTGAAAAAGAAGGAATTCTTTAGATTTTGGTTTTATTTTTCAATCTTTACATTTTTATGGTTTTGGCCCTTCAATTATTCAATGGATTAAAGCTCTGTATAAAAATAGTTCTTGTTGTATTTTAAACAATGGGCATTGTTCAGAATTTTTTGATGTACAGCGTGGGGTAAGGCAGGGCGACCCTTTAAGTCCCTATATATTTATTTTATGTGTAGAACTACTAAGTTCAGCTTTAAAAATTAATCCAGATATAAACATCATTACTATTATCAACTCAGAATATTTAATAAACCAATTTGCAGATGATACATCTTTTACCCTCTCAGATGATCCAGTGAAACAACATTAAATATTTTGGAAGATTTTG